CTCTTCTAGTTACAACTTTTGTACTTGGTTGCTGCTTGATGTAGGTTGCTAAGCCTTTAAAAAATTGCATGTGGAGGATATGGTACACAAAATACTATTTTTAAGTACATACATACAAATAAAGTCAATAAAGGATTAAATCAGTAACAAAGACCTAATAATCTTATACATTTAAGCATATTAAAAGAGAATTCCTCTACGCGAATCTCTTTCTTTGCTGGAGAATTGTATTAAATCGAAAGTAGCTCACATTCTAAAAACGAATCATATTAGTTCATATAATTGGTGTTTTTCTGTGTTTTTTAATATTTGCTTTTAAATTAAGAAATTGAGTAATATATAGTAATAAATTTGAATTATAATTCACAGTTTGATACCAAACTTATTGACATAAATTCATGAAATAGTAGTTCAGTAAAATTTTGAATGCAAGTCAACAAACGAGTTGACATGGCCTTTCATCTGTGACCCATCTTGAAAAGGTTAAGCACCTGTACTAGAAATTAATCTCACTAAGTATTCGTGTTATCGGCGTTTGTTGTCATTGCGAAATTCCACATGCCCATATATATACATACAAACATTGCTCAATACAATGTGTGGTAATGTAACTAAATGAGCTGTATACACTGTACTGTGTTACCACGCATAGCCATTAACGCTCAGTTGAACTCCATACAAATTTTATGCAGCTTGTCCACAGTAGAAAGTTTAGTAACTGAAACAGCATTATTAGCCAATCACAAAACCTAACTTTTCCTGATGTTTTTAGTCCCTTTTGGTGGATTGTATCAACATTTCTCTTGTACAAAGTATAATCTTTTTTTGAAAAAAAAAGTGGAACAAAAGATATTTTTTGTGGGGATTCAAATTTTTTAGTTCGTAATTAGGGAACTTACCAATGATTGTGGCTGAGGATTGGAGTCAACATTACGTGTATAGTGTGGGCATGGATAAGTGTACAGTGGACTGCAATGCTGTTTTGAGTAAGGGTCAGTTCCAGAGTGCTAGGAATCTCCGTCCCACCAAACATGCTTGCCTTTTCAGCCGTGGGGGCATTATAATGTGATGGTCAATCTCACTATTCATTGGTAAAAGAGTAGCCCAAGAGTTGACAGTGGGTCATGATGACTAGCTGCCTTTCCTCTAGTCCTACACTGCTAAGTTAGGGACGGCTAGCGAAGATGGTTCTCGTGTAGCTTTGCACGAAATTAAACAAACAAACCAGGGTGCTAGTCGTCTGTCGGACAACACAGGGGTTTAAGTTGGCTATCTGAGAAAGTTTTTAGTTGTCTCGCACAACTGCTAAAATTGAACTCTACATATGATTGTTAAAGAATTTGAAAGGTGAAATGAAGTAACTGAGGTTAATTTTTTGTTTTTTACGTATTTTAGGCTGTTGTCCAGTTCTTCCTCGTTCTGAGTTGCCTCCAGGACTTACAGTTGCTCTCCAGGCAAAAATACGTGCTCTAGAGCAACGATGTAAAGCTTGTTGGTTGAAGGTTTGTTACCAAAAGTTCTTTGTCACACCAAGCGTTCGAGAAATTGTCTTACAGTTTACACCAAGGATTGAAAGCACTGAAGAGCCAATGCTAACTGGAACAGGTGTGACTTTTTAGATGTTTGAAATTGAGTTTTTTCCATTTTCATTTCATTACTCTTTTTCTATCTTTCATGTCTGTGTGGATCATAAGATTTTCTTTTATTTTTTGTCATACATATGAATGTGAAAAGATTTGATAATGTAGGTAAATTTAGTATTTCAAAGTCTTCTTTGATTTTAGAACTGTATTACGTGGTGTTTATTTTTAAGTTTTATTTCACATGTGATTTCTTTTAATTATCTTTAAAACTTTTTTGAGGTCATTACATGTGAATAGATTATTTAATTATCAACATATTTCTTTCCCAAGCATTTACATCTATAAAATATAGAACTTATTTTTTGTCTTTTTGATGTTTTGAAGTTCCTGGTATTTGTTGAACAGGAAGTTGTAATTAACTGTCACATTTAGTGATGGTTCAAGTGGCTCATTCTCCTTCCATTAAGTGATAGTCAACTAATATTTTTATCTGATTTGTAAAAAAATCATTATCAATAAAAAATTTTACAATGCTTATCAGAGATATTATTTCAAAATTGTTATTTTTATGAAAGTTTGTAACATGGGTAAAGTGGTGTTTTTAATGTATTTTAAAATAGGTTGTAATGGATATTTATTTAGTATTTAATATCTAGTTTGTCTGTTTTACTTATGGATACTTGGTTTAGCTAGATAGTACGTATTTGGCAGCCAAGTAGGTTTAATTTACTAGGAACAGTATAATCCAAAACCTAATAGAAAGTAGCTTGTTATGAATGACAGATAGACTAACAAAAAAAAGACAATAACTTTAATAATATATAAAATAATAACACTAATAAACTTGATTTTTCAGTAACAATTGCAAAACATATTAAACTCCTGTATCAGAAACATTTATTTGTGTGCATTAATTATTTTAATTTATTTTCCAAAACACATAACCCTACTTTCTTGTGTCACACAAATAAATCTTATTAAACTTAAATTGAATTCAAACAGTTGTAGTATGTTAAATGAATCTTTATAATTGACTGTTTTAATCAGTCTTTTGATAAATAATTAGTAATCAGTAACTCTAGTAACTAAGTTTTTAATATAGTCGCTGTATTATTATTAAAGCTCATCACTTATCACTTACTGAAGGCACTTATACTGTGTGGCATCATGGTTCATATTGTCTTGCCTTCTGCATGTTAGAAACTTGTGTTGATAGTTGTCAGAAATTTTCATCCACCTGGGTACCCCAGAATTACCCATCCAGATAGGATTTTTGGTACCTGTTCAAACTCTAGTATTTTGTTTGCATTTTTACAAAATTTCATATTTGCTTGTATTTCTTATCATTTCTAGTATCCTGTTAACCCTATCTCAACGGGTCACGTGCCAAAGGCCATGTCATCGTATTTGTTGACTTGCATTCATAATTTTATTGAACTACCATTTCATGAATCTGTCAATAAGTTTGGTATCAAATTGTAGATTATAATTCAAATTTTAGTAATGTACATTAGTTAATTTCTTAATTCAAAAGTAAATTTAAAAAAAACACAGCTAAACATCGATTTTTGTATGTCACGTGGTATGTTGAATGCAGCACTGGTTCAGATTAGATGTTTGTGATGTCAAGATACAAAATATACAGTTTTGTAAAAATTAGGAATTCAAACAACCCATATTGACAAGCTAGAATATAAAATAAGAATGTCTTATCTTTTCTATTTGCTAAGATGTCGCTCCTGTACTGATTCAAACACAGGGCCCACCCCCCACCTTCTATCCACTTTTGGAAATGGTCCCTTATATGCACTTACTTCTATGTATGACATGAAAAACCAATCAAGAGCTCAGAATGTCCCCCTAGTAGTTTTCTCAGCCATTTTGATGTGTTATTGTGTTAATTCTTTTGATAAGTTAAGTCTTTAGTGAGCTCAAAATTAAACATTTTTTTTAGACCCAAATACAGCTTACTTACTACGCTTGATAAATTATAGTAGAATTCTTTGGTATCGATATAGTAATTTACGATTTTTTGTTTAATCAAAATGTATATATAAAAACTAAAAAAAAATTCTTTTTACACACTTCACATGGGAAATTTCATAAGGCTCAGCAACCTATGATAAGCGGCAAATGAGTACAAAGTTCATAACTAGGAGAGATAAGTGTTTTCTTTACTTTATTTACTGTTCCTTGTTTTAAGAAATATAAGTTTAGAGCTTATTTGTAAATATTAATATTGCATATACATATGTAATGTGTAATAGTTGAAATGTGACTGTATTTTACAAAATACTAGTCCAGTAAAACACAGCCAAGACAGGTCACTTTGTAAAGACTAAAGATCAGTTATATATTATTGGATAAAGTAACACAAGTGCACATGCGCAGCATCATTGTAACTTCTGTATTGTTAGCCAGGCATGGCTGGAAGTCATATAATAAAATAATAATATACTCAATAATATAATAGTTATTAGTAGACG